CTAATTTAAGGGAAGTCAGAGTGCGATCCAACCACCGAAACCAAAGTGTCGTGTTAAAAACGTATTAAAATCCGTAGCTGATATTGAAAGTTACACCATAATAATATATCCTTGCTCGAGAGATGAAAATATCACTAAAACAATGACTGATTTGGATAAAAAATTTAATATTCGAACCGATTATGGTAGATCAAGAAGAAATCTTGGTGATGTTATAAGAACAGATACAAGATTGAATTATATTCTTTATGGTGTCGTTGTAAAAGAAAGAGCCCAAGATCCTGTTAATTACGTTCATTTCCAACGTTGCATTAAAGAGATTAATCAGCGTAACAATAAACACGACCAATACGAATATGTTGCAATGGAAGCCTTTAGGGATGATCCAGATAATATGGTTATTAACAAATTGGTCAATTTGATGAGAAACACTTTTTATTATAATGTAGAAGTTTATATTTGTTGGCCTGAAGAGTTGAAGCAATTCGCTCCAAGGGAATTAGAATATTCTTGAAATAATATTTTTTTAAGCTTTTTATAATATTTCTATTGGGTTTTATCTTAATCATTTAAAAATAAATTACTAATTATAATACTAAATTATATTTTTTATTAACAATAAGGATACATTTTTTCTACTTAAAAATAGATACTAAATTTCTTGGACAACTCTAAATTTAAAAAAAAAGTTTCTAATAACTAAAAATTTCTAGTATCTACAAAATTTGGGGTAAAAAATTAGAATTCTTAAACGATTTTAAAGGTAAAAACCGCTTTGTAATGTGTCAATTGATTTTTAATAAATTAATTCTTAAAGATAACCTAAAAAAAATTTCGATTCATTGTGATAACTTCTTTGAGTTTATTTAAAAAATTATTGCTAGAAATTTTTTATATTTCTATTACAAAAATTAATTTTCAATAAAATTCGGTGTTTTAGTACACATTTCTTCTACTTAAAAGTAGATAGCAAGGTATATATTTATATGATTATGTCTAGGTTCCTATACAGCAATACTTTAGAAACCTAGAAACATTCGGGTTTACGCACACGTCTCTCAGTATAGCTAAAACCGAATGATTCTAGTTCTTGTGTTAGTTCTAGTGATAGTGCTAATCTAAAACTAGAACTAACACTAGACTTAGAACTAGAAACATTCGGATTTAGCCGCACGTCTCTCAAGACGGCTAAACCCGAATGTTTCTAGTTCTCGGTCTAGTGTTAGTTCAATAAAAATAAGCAACATAATGATACTCAAATTAGAACTAAAACTAGAAACTTTCGGGTTTTGCCGTGCGTCTTTTAATAAAAGGTTTGACGTTTCGGATGCCATGTTGCAACCTTCTTCAGAAACTGGTTCGAAGTGACGAGATCAAAAATCGGTAACTATACAGGGTGCCCGGAAATTGCGTTCATATATTTAAAGGTGTAATTCTACATAAAAAATCATGAAGAAAAGTTCATATAAAGGTGTGTCCTAAAATGCTTCCTAAGGGAGGTAGAGTACTTTGAAGAAGACGTTCAATATGTGGTTATTTCTCATTATTTCAAAAACTACTAGGGTTAGAAACACGAAATTTTGCATATCTAGCTATTTTTACTGGCGAACGTGCGGGTCATGCTACGGGCGCTCCTCGACCTATCCATCTTTCACGGTAGGTTTCATTTAAATATTGCCGTACTTGAACGCTGAAATGAGGAGGAGCCCCATCATGCATAAACCACATTTCCCTTCGTGTTTGATACGGCACTTCTTCCATCAGTTCAAACAAGGTATTTTGCAAAAAGTTAAGATAAGTTGTACCGTTGAGACGGTTATCAAATACATGCGGTCCAATTAAATGATCCCCAGTAATACCAACCTATACATTAATAGAAAATCTTTCTTGATGTTTCGTGGCTAAAACATTCTATGGGTTTTTATCGGCCCAAACATGGATATTATCGAAGTTAATAACGCCATCTCGGGTAAATCCAGATTCATCGGTAAACAACACTTTTTCCGGAAAATTTCTGTCATGGCGCCATTGTTCCATAATCCAACGACTGAACTGTAGTCTTGGGATGCTATCGGTGGGTTTTAAGGCCTGCACCTTTTGGAAATGATATGGATGCAGTAGCTCATCTTTAAATACCTCCCAAACGGTGGTTTTCGGCACATTTTCTTGTACCGATAATCTCCTAGTGCTTGCTGTAGGATTGATAGCTACTGCATCGAGCACCCTTTCTTCCACTTCTACAGTCCTCGTAGTGCATGATCTTCCACAGTCGTAACGATTTTCCTTAAAGCGCCCAGTTTCACACAATCTTCTATGGATAGAAACGAACGTTTGTTCACAGGGAAGTTGTAAGTTTGGATATCGTTCTGCGTACAATCTTCGTGCTTCTCTGGCATTTCCATCAGCTCTACCGTACGTAAAGTGAATGTTTGCCATCTCTTCGTTTGAGTATTGAACCATTTTGATTTAATTAAACGTAAATTATAATGGTTGTTGCACTAAAATTATCGACCGTTTGACAGCAAAGATCAACAAATGAAAGGAGCCTACTAAGATTTTTAGTGATAGTTTAATACACATGTTTGTGTGCAGTATTTTACTTAGTATTATTTATCTTGAAAACGAGTGGTCGTAGACCATTTTATAAGCAGATTATTTTTTATGTATTTTTTTTTGTAGATTCTAATTTTGAGGTTAAAATAGTAAAAAGATCAAAGCAAAAAAAAATATGGGAAATAAATTGCGCCCCCTATTCCTTATTTCCGCAACTGCACATTCCTTCTAATTTTTCATTCGATTATCGTACCCGTCCCGTAAAAATAGCTAGATATGCAAAATTTCGTGTTTCTAACTCTAGTAGTTTTTGAAATAATGGGAAATAACCATATATTGAACGTCTTCTTCAAAGCGCTCTACCTCCCTTAGGAAGCATTTTAGGACACACCTTTATATGAAGTTTTCTTCATGATTTTTTATGTAGAATCACACCTTTAAATATATGAACGCAATTTCCGGGCATCCTGTATATAAGTCGGAAAAACTAATTAATAATCAGTAAACGCTAATTACAAGCTAATTATTAACTAATTGCGTCGCGTCCGGTGTGAGGCGGGAAGAGGTCTTCGTGTTCACCACCATCTTCCATGTTCTGTTAATCTCCCAGCCATCCTCTCTGTTGACGTTATTTTTATGTCGGTGGATCTCTATGGCTTCTCTTGTCAGTTTTTGGTAGTATCTGTTGTCCCTAGCCAGCACCTTTGTTTGTTCGAAGTCTATTCGGTGCCCCTCTGCATGGCAATGTTCCGCAACCGCCGACTGCTGGATCTTCTTCAGCCTTACATCCCTTTCATGCTCCTTGATGGGGCACTCGACGTTTCGTCCAGTTTGGCCAACATAAACCTTCCCATAACTACACGATAGTCGGTAGATCGGGAGTGTGTTCCGAATTTTGCTGACCGTGCCGTACCGCACTACGATGTCGTTCTTCTTGAGGTGCCTAGCAATTCGTTCCGTTACACCTGAAACATAGGGAAGACAGATAAACCCAAATGGTTTTGTACTTACCGTGTCCTCTTTCTGCTTTCGCTGCTTGATGGCCTGGTTGATGTCCCTCGAAGTGTATCCATTCTTCTGCAGCACGCCTCGTAGAAAGTGTTGCTCCTTCTTCAAGTTCTCTCCTTCACATAGTCTCTCTGCTCACTGAAATAATGTATGGATCACGGACCTCTTCTGTTGGGGATGATGACGTGAATCCTCGCTTACTAGCGCTACCTACCACCTACCAGCCGTCTTAAGAGAGATACAGCTAAACGGATTCTTTCTAGTTCTAGGTTCTAAAAAGAAGGGTTGCTATTAGTCAGTTTTAAGCAAAAAATACACTAGGAAAATTCGAGACCTGTTCTGCCCCTAATATGTAGATTCCGTCCAGTTTCTTGGTATGATCCAAGGCTTTTCTCAGGTCAATGAAGTATATAAAGTCAAGTCTGTATTCAATTACTTTCTTTCTAATTTGTCTAATCATGAATATCGCGTCCATCGATCTCTGTTATTTCTAAAACCCTGTTGCTCTTCAGTTATTGCTATGCTGTTTTGCAGCCAATCGCACATTATTGCCGTAATAACGTCATGGTGATGTTGAGAAGATTTATATTATTATTAAATAATTATCAATATTTTTGCGATTACCCTTTCTGTGTATTTGGTGATGCTACTTTTATACCCTGCGGGCATTTTCACATCTACTATTTTATTTAGTTTATATATTTGCTGCCATAGACTTACCTCCGCATTTTATCATTTAATTTATGATATCATCTGGGCCTGGGCTTTTCCTGTTTTTAAGTTTCCCAACGAGTACTTCAGTTTTATATTGGTATATCCATTTTACCTTTGTTTGTGATTTCTGGCATTACGATGTTTGGGCACGTCTCTCAGTATGGCTAAACCAGAATGATTCTAGTTCTAGGTCTAGTTTTGGTTCAATAAAAATATGCAACATGGCGATATTTTATGCTAACTATGCTACCTATTACCTACCAGCCGTCTTAAGAGAGGTACAGCTAAACGAAATGTTTGTACTTCTAGGTCTAGTGTTAGTATTAGTCTAGTTTTATTTGTTATTTAGCGCTAGATTGTATATTTTGATTTAATTACAACGGACACTGCCTTCTTTAGTTTTTATTATGTTTAAACAAATAACTAATTAAATTCGTAACTACAGTTTACTTAAAATCAAAAATTAAGTTGAATTATATACCACACTAAATATATTAAAGTAATTCAAGTTCATTACTTTAAAAATTTGAATTATTTCCCGTATTATTTTCCGCCAATTACGTAATGCGCAGTATGGTTGCGTATAATATACAAACCTTGGATAGTGCTTAGAATAAACATCTCGTAAAGTCCCTAGATTAATCTAGGGACTTTAATCTATGTACAACTCAAAATTTAAAAAACCAGCTTTTTGGTTAATTTTTTATAAAACGTCAACACATCCTCTAAAGTTTCAATAACCATGGCAGGTTTTAACTCAAACTCGTGTACTTATCCAAATTGTGGTAGAAAATATTCAAATTTACCCGATTTGATTTATCACATCGAAGATGAGCACGTTGATTTTAGTCCGGAAACTCTTTCAGCGGTGGAAAATTCGCAACCGACGTACGTCCCGATGAGTTATATTTTGAAATTTTCCACGTTACATCCTAAAGAAAAACATTCCGAACCAATTGCAAGTTTACGACAAGAAAATCAACTTTTAATGGTTGAATCGGAAACTTCATCGACCGATTCATCCGAGTCAAATTTAAATTATCCAAAGTAAGTTTATGCCATATTCCAAACTATGTATATCGAAAAGTTGAAATTGTTTTTAGAGACCCGAACGATATAAGTAACCAATTTAGAGAGGACCCATCGAGTATTAAACGATTAATTTGTTTGATTCCTAATTGTAATAAAAGATACAAAACCATTAATGGTATCAAGTACCATATTAAAAATTGTCATGAGAAGAAGTTGGAGCCGAAAAAGATTCACAAATGCCACTGTGGAAAATCGTACAAAACTCAACACAGTTTAAGAGCTCACAAAACGAATCATTACGAAGTACCAAGATCGTTATCTCGTAAGATGTCTCAATGTGAAATAGCTGGATCTAATGGTTATTTTCATGAAGCTCCCAAATTGCCTAGTTTTAAGGGGTGTTTTACTAAAAATGCACTTACATTTAACCAAACAGATAAAAAAATAAGTGATCCATTTATTTTTCAACATCCAAGAGAACCAACGTTTGAAGCTGGATCTTCAAAAATGGATCAATATACTAATGATCCATATTTAGGTTAAGTTTGTTAAGAATTGTTAATAAAACATTATTTTCTTAAATACATATAATTGGTTTTAACGTTTAATTAAAAAAATTATTGCTAAGTTAACATACAACATTTTTAATATAAACAAATAATCAAAACTTTCAAAATATCATTTTCCGGTGTGAAGTTAGCTACAGGTGGTGACAAGCCTAAAAATAATTATTGAGCGTCATTTTGTAGAAAGCGGTGAGTTTTTTTAAGTGACTGATTTTTTTGGTAATAATTCAACATTTATATAGATAATAGTCATCACGAAAGAAGAAAACCCCGTAATCTAACGATTTCGTTCACATCACCCATAAAAGCTTGTCTTTGGCGTCAGTTTTCACACAATTTCGGCCACATCAACCGATTGAGTAAGTAGATCTTCTCCATATTCTAATTCAACTTAGATAAATTATAATTAAGATAAATTAGGTCAGTTTTATCATTACCGCCCCTATCGTTTCAGCAAATTAAAAAAATTTTTTGAATTAAATAAATCGCGATAAAGGAAAACTTGTTAAACTCAATGAGTTTTCGCGGTGGTCGAAACCGCGGGGGTGGTCCCCCTCGGAGTAGCAGAGGAAGGTTTCGAGGCCGTTCAAGGGAACGTAGCCTGTCTCGGGAGAGAGCACGTCATCGTAACGCTAGGAGTCGTTCCCGCGAGAGAAGGTTAAGTCGGGAACGATTTGTTTCACCGCCGCGTAGGAATCGCGGTGAAAGGGGGAGATCATTCGAAAGGTTTCGTAGTCCACCGAGGGATCATGCCTTTGAAGAGAACTTTCTCCCTCCGCGATTTGAATATCCCAATTTGGAGGTGGCTCCGATTGAAAATTTCGATAGGATCGATAGAGAAAGGGGGCATGATATAGAGATTATTGAGGATCGTAGAGGAAGTCCTGGGTGGAGAGGTGCAACTCCTAGAACTCGATTTTCCCCCGCAAGAAGAGAAGTGGAGTTTTCGCGGGGGGCTTCTCAAGAAAGACAGGATCATTATCCGTTGAATGTTTTTGAGGGTAAAGAAGACGATAAACAGGATCCTTGGGTGAATAATTCCGGGGTGATTCCCACTTTTGGACAAGAAAAAAGTAGCTCGTTAATTCCTGAATTTAACCCAGATAATGCCCAATTAACTTCGAGGGCTTTTTTAAAACACGTAGAACGAGTTGCTGTTGAACAAAAATGGAATAATGAAGACAAAAAGTTCCATTTTTCAACGAAATTAATTGGAACAGCTAAAGAATGGTTTATAACGGGAAATAAAATTTTAGATCCTTGGGTACAAATTCGCAAATCGTTTTTGCGCGCTTTCCCATCAGAAATGGAGTATTATTCTTTGTTGGAAACGATGATGAAAAGGACGAAAACGCCGGATGAAGATTTAAGCACCTATTTTAATTACAAAATGGTTCTTATAAATAATTGCAAAATAACGGGAAGAAGGGCTGTATCGTGCTTAATTGGAGGATTAAGCGAATTGGTTCAAAATGTAAAAGAAGAGGCTTTAGAACATAATTTCCCAACGCCGGAAGATTTATACAATTTCCTTAAAGACAAAGATGTCGATAACTCGAAGAAAACCTTTCAAAAAGTGAACCCAACCAGCAAGAAAAAGTGTTACCGTTGCAACGATTACGGCCACGTCTCATACGAATGTCCCAAAGGAAAAGAAATGGGGGAGAAACCATCAAAACCATCGGCAAAAGAAGAAAAACAGCCAAAATACAAAGACGTACAATTATTCGGTTGGTTAACAAAAGCGATTTTCGACGATTCTCATCCGCATATAACCGTTCGTGAATCGGATATGGAAAATTTTGAAGTTAAATATAAAAGGCAAGTTTCCATAATTGATGGATCAAACGGAATGAAGTTAACGTCGTTGGGACAAGCGGTTGTTCATTTGAAAGTTGATCTTTTAAGTTCCGACGTGAATGTTCACGTTGTAAAGGATCAAACTCAAACGGTCCCGATTATTTTGGGGAAAGCGATGCGCAAATACGCGCATTATATCGAAGATAGAAAAGGAGTGCATTTTTCTCCGCTTGAGAAAGGTGCCGGTGAGGGGAATCGGAAGGAGTCCAGAGCTGCTAGGTCCCCAAATAGACATGGACCGTCCTCGCAAGGAAACTTTAAAGATTCTCATCCGTTTCTAAGTAAATTTTATGGTAAGTAAATTTTTATTTTTAGCAATTCTTTTTTTAGTTACAGGGAATGATTTGTTTTAAAAAATTAACTACGATTTAAGGAAACTTATATAAAAACAATTAAATATGTCTAGTGTGTGATGAATAATTTATTATTAAAATTAAGTGGGAAAGTGAAGAATTTGTTTAATTAAAGGGATTATTTTAGAAGAAATGTTAATGAAGGTTGTAGAGGTGTTTTTTTAAGCCAGATAGAACTTATGAAAGGATTAACTGTCTGTCATACTGTGCTCACTTTTTGATATTTATGATCAGTATACTCTGGCAAATCAACATGAATAGATGGACGCTTGAACAACGCTTCCAAATTATCCAGATTTACTTTGAAAATCAGTCTTCAATTCGCACAACTTATAGACGACTTTGTGATTTGTATGGCGGACACAGTATTGTTAAACACCCGGTTATTTACCCCAGATGAACTGCCCAGTTGATGGCAGTTTTGCAAGCACTTCAAGAATTCAGAGTCGATTATCAATATGTTGGAGGCAGATGACGAATTCGGCCCGTGGCCGATTTATTTAGACGTATCGGCATATGTCCAAAGCTGTTAGGTCACATGATGAAAAAATGATACAATTGGGATCTGACCATATCAGTTTGAACACGTCCCGATATGTACAGGGTGTCCCAATTTCGATGTCCGCATAGACCATCTCCGAAACTAAAAGAGATAGAAAAAAAGTAGCTTACATGTCATGATCTCGTTTTTCGAGAAAATGCTAATGCCGAAAACTCCGAACAGCTATCGTCTTTTGTTTTCGCCCTATCGGCAAAAACTGAAAATTTTGCAAAAACGACAATGATTGAGGANTTACATAGGTGAATAAATAAAAGTTTCCTTAAATATACTCCATTACCATAACAGGCACATTGTATGTACAGGGTGTCCCAATTTCGATGTCCGCATAGGCTATCTCCGAAACTAAAAGATATAGAAAAAAAGTATCTTACATGTCATGATCTCGTTTTTCGAGAAAATGTTAATGCCGCAAACTCCGAACAGCTATCGTCTTTTGTTTTCGCCCTATTCCGCGGCTAACGTCGCATTCTTATCTGATAACATATAGCATTCCATAATGTTACATTTTTCATAATTTTCGAAATTCATTGTAAAGTTTTATTCAGTTTTGTTATATTTTGACACTTAACATGCTGGTGCATCGTACCAGCACATAATGCCAGAGTTGTTATCGAATTTTTAAATACGAACTTTGGCAATTATTTGATACATTATGTTGCATCACAGTATGTATGGTTATCACCATAGCAACATTAACTTTTAAATACATAGATTAGTTTTAGATAGAACAAAATGAATTTTTGTTAATTATTCAATAACTATAAGAATTATACCCCACAAACTATATATATTTGTTATCAGAAGAAAATAACAAATTATTTTAGGTCATAGCCAACTATGGTTTCCATTTAAAAAAATAAAGTTACGTCTAAAATCTCGAAAATAAAAGATGGGAAAAATATTCTACCTACGCTATAATACTCCATCTTTGATAATAAGTGAAATATTCGCGATTGTCGTTTTTGCAAAATTTTCAGTTTTTGCCGATAGGGTGAAAACAAAAGACGATAGCTGTTCGGAGTTTTCGGCATTAGCATTTTCTCGGAAAACGAGATCATGACATGTAAGCTACTTTTTTTCTATCTATTTTAGTTTCGGAGATGGCCTATACGGACATCGAAATTGGGACACCTGTACATAGCAATAAGATTAAATATTGATTCGAACTACGGTTGATTCCAGTATCAAGTAGGTAATCCCAGTATTCATTGGATGATTCTTATGTCA